CTGGATGCCATTTTGACAGCTAAGTACCTAAATTTTTATGTAGCTACTTTAAAATCAGTTGGTAAATATTCGCTAGATTACATACTCTCCACCGCAGCATCGGTAGCAGCTAAATCAAGGCTGCAAAGGTAAGTGGACTTTATTTTGCTGGGCATAAAGCTGAATTTAAAATGGTATGTGTCGGTCTAGTGCATGTTGGGTTTATTATAAGACTGAAAACATTAATATTGGGTAGTTAACACCAACCAATGAATAATAATAATAACATTAAGGCCCGATTCGACCAAACTTTTATCCGAGAATAACTCCTGGTATAACTGGCACATTGACAGTTTCAGTAGAGTAAATACAAATGTGTAGGTCATCTTCATAGAAACGCACCGAGCGCGGTTTGTATATGAGCGCGCCAATACGTATGCGGCGCGCACGCACACACTGACAAAATTTAGCGTGGATTAGCGGTCTATTCCACTTTGATCACCTGGCCTTGATCACCCAGGTGATCAAAGTGGACTTCCAGCGACAATTTAGTATCCTTTGATCACCCACGGATACGATGCTCTGGGTGATCAAAGTGCACTCCAGTTAAATTATTATTTTAGTGTCCTTTGATCACCTACAAACAAATTACACCTCCTCTGAATAGTCACATGTCCAATTGTTGTAGTTACCTACATATTTTGTTTTGTAACATTTTGATATTTTCTAAAAACCGCAACACACAAATTGGACATGTACGTATGTGACTATTCAGAGGTATGATTTACTTATAGGTGATCAAAGGACACTAAAATAATAATTTAACTGGAGTCCACTTTGATCACCCAGGGCATCGTATCCGTGGGTGATCAAAGGACACTAAATTGTCGCTGGAAGTCCACTTTGATCACCTGGGTGATCAAGGCCAGGTGATCAAAGTGGAATAGACCGGATTAGCGGGGAGTTGCGCCGAATTTTGTCAGTGTGTGCGTACGCGCCGCATACGTATTGACGCGCTCACATACAAACCGCGCTCGGTGCGTTTCTATGAAGATGACCTACTCATTTGTATTTACTCTGGTTTCAGTATGGAAAATATGTCAAAATGACAAGTTTATTCTGAGATTAATATTTGCTATTGTTTGGTCGAATCCACCTTAATAATAATAACTAATCAACATTTAGAACTTAGCGCATCTAAAAAAACATAACTAAATATGTTAATCAATAATAATGTTAATTAATTTAATTAACCTTAACTTCTTGGTGGTGTCAACTACTCAATCTTCATAGATATACTTTATTCGAGGTGAATTTATATTATTTTGACCCCAATTTTAAACTTCTCTCGTATACAGTTTTTGACATTAATAAATTAGACGTTTCAGATGTTTTTCTTCATAACAAACTTAATTACAATAAGATTAAAAGTCTTTTTATTTCATCAATAAAATAATTATGGTCTTAAAAATACTCAATTTTCTGTTTCATTAAAACTTTTTACTTCTATAAAACAAATGTTTTTTTATAATCTTTTTCACACCTCATCTATGTTTCGGGCTATATTCAAGCAGTATGTGACGTCTTCAAACATAAGAAAACCAACGTACCATTTCTGGCCATTTATTGGGAAATTTGTGACGTCTTAGTTAAAGAATCCATTTCGCACACTTGGTGCAATAACGTCATAAGTGCAAAAAATATTTTTGGACTTCTGACCTTATTGCACTTAAGGTGAAATTTGAAACACCCATTTCGGGCAATATGTGACATCATAATATTGCAGATCGGGCAAAGGCACGGAGGTTTCCTGGGTTTACTACAGAGAGCGCTAGCGCGCGCCTCGCCTCATATCTGGTTTGAGCGGTCCGAGGTGAAGGATAGACACGCTGTTGCTAAAAGGTGAGGTTTAGTATAAAATAAATAGTAGGTATTTATTATTTGTCTCAAAATAATACAGTAAATAATGTCTTATCTTACTATTTTAGTTGAAAGTTTAAAATCTTATAATTGCAGTGTAAAAGTCAAGAACAGTAGTAGCAACAGTATGAGACAAAATGGTATAACTCAGTAATTACAGAAAAAAGTTTGACGATACTAACACCACAGATAGATTAAAGAACACAATAAGAATATAAATATCTTTATTGATGTAATACACTAACATTTTATTATGTGGAGTTTTATTACATTTACAATTTTAATTTTAGCTTAACTAGCTTGCTATAATTTTAGAATACAAAAACCAACTCGCTCCTCTCGCGACTCGAACCCCTACTGATCCTCCATTTGTCCCACAGGCTCAAAGAGCACATATCCGTCGCGGACAACCCTCCGATCCTTATCTTCCCGGAGGGGACTTGCATCAACAACACCTCAGTCATGCAGTTCAAGAAGGGAAGCTTCGAAGTGGGAGGCACCATCTACCCTGTCGCTATCAAGTAAGTTTCAGCTGCTATTCATCATCATTTCAGCCATAGGAACGTCCACTGCCGGACAAAGGCCTCACTCAAGAATTTCCATAACGAGGGTTCTGCGCTTCCCGCATCCAGGTTCTTCCTTGCTTCAGCAGATCGTCGGTCCACCTAGTGGGAGGCTTGCTACGTTTTCCGGCCCGTGGTCGCCACTCAAGAACTTTTCTGCCCCCAACAGCCATCCGCTCTACGTTATGTCCCGCCCACTGCTACTCGATTTTAGCAATTCTTCGTGAGTGAGAAGTCAGAGTAACGCCCGTATTCACAAACGACGCTTGCTTATGTGAAGCAGCAAATCGAACGCACAGCGTTGAATAACGCACTGTGATTGGTTCGTGTGTCACCCTTTGCGTCCACGCGCACTGTGAGACCTCATAGTAATGTTTATGAATAGGGGCTTGAGAAACCGACTCAAAAAAGGAAGAGCTTACTAATCCGACAATGTTTTTAAAATTACAGATACGACCCTCGCTTCGGCGACGCGTTCTGGAACAGTTCACGTCACGGCATGCTGCACTATTTACTCAACATGATGACGTCATGGGCGATTGTGTGCGACGTGTGGTATCTACCAGCCATGCATCGAGCGCGAGATGAATCTGCAGTAGACTTCGCGAATAGAGTAAAGGCGGCGGTCGCAAGGCGCGGTGGCCTGGTTGATTTACAGTGGTGAGTTGTTGACTGGCATCTATGATATATGAGAATGCTGATTCTCAACCTCTCTTCTTTCTTTCTTTCCCTATGTCTTACTCGCCCTCTCACATGCGCTCTCCCTCACACTCGCGCTTCGATATCTCTCGTTATCTCTGCCAACATTACTCTTACCTTTTCGAGCCCCTTAAATTTTTTCTCTATAACTGTTCCTGTCCCTCTCTTCCTCCCACCATAAGGGGTCGTCCATAAAGTACGTCACACGTAAAGAGGGGGGAGGGGGTCGACAAAGTGTGAATTCTACGTGCTCACAGACCAGGCTTTAGTACCTATCGCTACAATTTACAAGATGAACTAAAATCATAATTATTGTTACAGGGACGGCCAACTAAAGCGAATGAAGGCGAAAAAGGAATGGCGGGAGCTACAACAGGAGGAATTCAGTAAACGGTTAAAAGGCGAGTAGAACCGCGTGACGATACAGCGGAGCTGTGACACGCCGTGCGGAGCTGTGACAGTACGCGGTGCGACGCTGTGACATCACGTGACGGGGAACTGTTACAGTAACAGTGACATGACGTGTCGAAGAATTGACGGTGACCTGGATCTGTTACAATAACAGTGTCGCTGTGACATCACGTGTCGAGGAACTGACAGTGTCCCGTACCTGTTATAGTGACGCGGAGATGTTACAGTATGTGTGACAGTGACGCGGATCTGTGACGAGAAGTGTAACGGTGACACGGAGCTGTGACGACGTCACGTGGAACTGTGTCAGTGACGCGCAGCTGTGACAGAACGTCACGTGAACTGCGGAGCTACCACAATACGTGTTGCGGACTGTGACTGTACGCGGCAGTGTAACAGTGCGTTATTCTGTGACTAAGTGATTTAGTGTTGTGACTTTACCGGACGCCATATTGGATTGAAGTTTATTTATAGACGCTATGGCGAGGGATTTTATGGAGAGCATTCTGTTTAAGACACTGTTTTTAGCATCATCAAGCTCAGAATCTTACAAAAGATTGTGAAAGAAGTTAATTTCTAAATTATGTGTCAATTGACAATTTAAAAAAGTTTAAACTTTAAAGTACATATGTTTATATCTGTTGTCTGGTACCCATAGTACAAGCTTTACTTAGTTTGGGACTAGATGGCGCTATCGGTATAAAATTGCCACAACATTTTGAACCTTACACATTTGTGTTAAAGTTCAAAATGTAATGGCGGTCATTAAAATGAAAAATCTAGCTTGTTCTCCATAAAATCGCTCGTTGAAGTTTATTTATTTGTAGGTTAGGATGAAGTCTTAAAAACTGCCTTTAGTTGTAATGTTTTTATTTTGCGCCGAAAATGTATTTATTCCAAAAAAACATTTTTGTACAATCTTGAGTTACGCCAATATTTGTGATGATGACATTTTATCATTTTGTGATTTTTAGTGGCAATAAAATCTAATTATTTTTAAAGTAAGTAAGTAAGTCACGATAGCCAAACGGTGAAGGGGTCGGACTGGCCGACTTGTGATCCGAGGAACGCGGGTTCGCTCCCCGCCGCCGCTTGACTATTGTGGTGAGGTCACTCGTGATACAAGCATATTTAGCTTAGTATGAGGGGCTAACGGGACTATTAGTAATTTGTGTAATAACAAATGAATTACTATCTTTAATAAAAAAAGGTTATCAGTAAAATATCGTAAAATGTTTTAATATCCTATATTTTCGGTGCAAAGTATACTATGAAATTTCTATTCAAATATTCGTGAATGTAAATTCAATAGAAGCCTTCTGTTTAGTGTAAAACTATATAAAAAAATAATAATAAGGCAATATAGTTGTCACCTTACTTGGAACCTTATTGCATTGTCTTAAGGTTAAAAACGTTTTTTACTTGCTACGCCTCTTAAAGGTATACTATAATTGTGATTCGATTGGCCTATTTAAAATCGTTTAAAAAATCCTGTCCTTTTTTACTCTAAAAATCGTCTAAAGCGGCACAACTGAAAAAAGTAGTTTTCGAAAATAATATAGCATTTAATAAATTAATGTTGTATTTTTAAGCATTTACTCTGCACAATTATGTAATGTGTATACATTTTTTTATAAATATATTACTCAATTTTTCCATTTTTTGAGTTGTGCCACTTTTGTTTAAAACTGGCGAACTTTCAAGAAAAGAATGTCAAGAGTTCGACTCCCAGTGAAGTCAAACAAACGTTCTGGGTCGTCGAGAGCTGATTGCGAGGCAAATTGTGATTATTTATTGTTTAGACGTAGTTTTTTTTACGGGAGCTTTAATTTTCAATATGGCGTCTCCTTGGACGATGAGTGATGGACGGATGACGCTGGGTCGTTGGATCGTTTTTAACCTTTTATAAGGCAGTGGGAATATATTTTCCACCATATTTTTAACTTTATTCGCTTGTCTCAAGGAACAAAAACAATGATTTTGAACATATTATTCTGATTCTTTTCTTTCTTATTATTTCTTCTTCTAAAAAAATTCTTACAAATCGTCTTTTTTTAAAGAAAATAAACAAAACATTGCTCTTTAGAAGCCTTTACATGTCTTATAATCTTTTTGTCCTACCAGCGCTTCGAGACCAACATTTGGCAAGTGCTGAAAAGAAGCGCCGCATCAAACTCAGTCACTACTGTCTACCGGTTTAAATAAATAAAAAAAAAAGGTAAATCTAATTCAAATAAAACAAAGTCGTGTTAGTGAATTTATAATTTAAGAACGGCTGGACCGATTTTAATGAGATATTAATAAATAATAACCAAAACGATGCCAACGATCCAGTGTCAAATATCACCAAGGTTTTGTAGCCAGCGGCGATTAGTACTAAATTCAATGACCAATCATCATCACCAGTGGCCTAATTCACGTATTTTGACAGTCAAGATCTCGCTGACGTTCAGAAGTCGTCCCATTGAAAAACAGTTCTAAATCCGTATTCACAAGGGTCATTTTGATAGAACGATTACTCGATAGGATCGCAACTCAGTGTTTTGTTGTCGTTGAAGTTTAGTTACGTGAATAAGGCTACAGGTCATTTAGTCTCCATTGCAGGAGTACGACCTTCTACATTTTGTGCATACACATGTAATTCAGATGCCAATGCAATATAATGATGTCATGGAGCTGGTCTGATGATGGAGCCAGAAGGTGGCCATAGAAACTGACGAAACGATGGAACCCTGTCGAGTTTGGGTTCGTTTGATGTGTCTTCACAATTACTCTGCTCTTGTATGATATCTAGATTCTGATCTGATGATGGAGCCGAAGATGGCCAACATAAAAGCTTGTTTTAAGATATTATAAATTATGAGGGGGTCAAAAGTGGCTCCAAATGGTTCGTGTAATACGCGGTGCTGCTCGCCGGTTCTGTTACTTGAACTTGGCTTGATACGCTACCGCGTGTCTAAAGTCGCGTGTAATATTGCTGTCGCGCTCGCACACTCACTGCGGCCGCCCGTCGCACAGTCGCGACAGCAATATAATTACGCGCGAGCGACAAGGATGGGTAGCTTGGGGTCATTGGACGAAATTCTATCTGCCCGGCGACCGGACTTTAGATTGATTTGGTCATTGACATTTGTCGTTTTAGTCGCCGCTATCCACGAGGTCTTGGTACGGATGTGTAAGCGTACCCTAAAGCTGTATTCGAGTATTTCTCAAAAAAAATGTACGTAACGAAACGGTAGTAACGAAATAGTAAGGCCATAAGGCTTATTATACATTAGCGAAATATTGTGAATGCTCTAAATTTATTCAATTCGTAATATTTGTAAGTATGCACCCAAATACGGGGTAATATTAAGGGGTTAGAAATAAAATAAGGGAGTAATCATTCATACTATTTTAATAAAATTATTTTTGTTCCATCATGTTTATCCATTTTGAGTCGTTCTCTGTAAGCTTTTTGCCTTTTGGCATTGATTTTTGGCGGCATTCCTAAAAAAACAAAAGAAGTAATCACATAAAAACGTAATCTAAATGATTTGATTAATTTTTGCTGGTGACACTTCTGTAAAGCAGATAGTATCCAATCCTTTTGTTATTGACGCTCTATATTTTTTTAAATAAATTAAGTAGTGAATATTACTATGCTTAGTCAGGTAATAACAGTATACACTCAGCATTATGTTGTACTTTTTCGTAACGTAACGAAATTCGTAAAAAACGTAACGAAATATTAGACAAAATGAGATCAGAAACAAGTATTTTTTTGATAAAATTTGTTACAACAAATATAAAAGCTTACTAAATGTTCGTACCACACGTATTACAAAAAATTGTTAAATGAAGACTTACCGTTCTATATAAAATCGCTGATTTTACTGCCTGTTACGAAAAAGTAATGCCACAAAACACACACGTTTTCACTAATTTTCGCGATAGATGTAATGGCGGAGACGTCAGGCCAACAGCCATTCAGAGTGCAGCTATTGTTGTCCGTGTAAAATAAATACGGAATTGTTCAGAAACCATGGGAAAGTAGAAATAAATCGTAACTAAAGAGTAAATAACGAAATAGTAAATGAGAGCGACTCATTTTGTTTTTTTGCTTTAAATTGCCAATTCATTATGACACCCCATAGAAAATCAATTTGATACAGAAACTGTGATTACTGTAGAACGATAATACAAAGAAATTTACAATAATTTAGTTACGTATCGCAGTATATGAAACAAAAACACATGAAAAAGCTAGGGTGGCAAACAGGTTTTTGTATGAAAGGTAAAAAAGGACTATTATTAAAATATCTAAATATTTGGTAATAAGTAGGATTATAGCTATAATTCTTCGTTATCTTAAAGATTAATATTCATCCTTCAAAATTATGTGTGTGTTTTTTTTGTGTGATGATTTATAAATATAAAACTTTTGAACTGTTTCAAAGCACACTTTTTTTTTTCAAAATGTACATTTTTTTTGAGAAATACTCATTCACATTGTTACGAGGCAAATGTTCCGTATCAGTGTGAATGCACCTTAATGAAGTGTGAAGCAATAAATATATTTTTGGATTGCTCATCTGTGATGGAAATATTGTGGAACGATGAATTTGATTATTGTAATAAATGTTGTATTATATTCTTGAAGACATTTTTATTGTGTTATATTTCTCCACCTTCCTCCCTTTCAAGCTATACTAGTCCAACGGTGTCGGAATCTGTCATTTTTGTAAAGGTGACTGACTGACTGACTGACATAATGATCTATCAACGCACAGCCCAAACCACTGGACGGATCGGGCTGAAATTTGGCATGCAGGTAGGCGGTTATCACAGTGCGCCGCGCTCCGCCGCGGTACGCGGGACGACAGATTTAATCATTGTATGCAAGTAGGACCTCAGTTTGTATAGAAAACACGCGCGGCACAACACACTGACAACGCGTCTGTGCGCGGGATTGTTTAAATGAAATCACGCGCGCGGAGCGCGGCGCAGTGTGATAACCGCCGTAGATGTTATGACGTCGGCATCCGCTACGAAAGGATTTTACGAAACTCCACCCCTAAGGGGGTAAAACGGGATCCACGCGTACGAAGTCGCGGGCGGCCGCTAGTTAATTACCACATGAAGCAATGAATAAATGAATGACTACCAACTAGGTCAAAGGAAGGTCGAGTTTGATCCACGTCGACCGCTGGACTGTTGTGGTCATCTCATCATACTTAATTTATACTTTACTATAAAGCTGAAGAGTTTGTTTGCTTGAACGCGCTAATCTGCCGCTAAGCCAATTCGAATTTTTGTGTTGGATAGCCAATTTATCGAGGAAGGCTTTTAGATTTCGGTACTTGCACATTTCTTAACTCTATGCAAGTTAAAAAATATTATCTCCCAAGTCCCGGCTTATTTAAGAAATTGAATGTTTTTTTATTATATCGTCTAGCCATACTATGAGACTATCACGTGTCTTCTCTTATCTATGTATAGTGATAGTGAGTGAGGCTGGAATTATTTACTTGGAGACCGTGAATTGGCACAATTTCATGATATCACATAACTTAAATATTAATAATAAATTTGGAGTTAAGAGTCTTGTCTAAGGTAAATCGATGTCTCCTTTTTAACGGATCTCAACAAAAGGAAGGCTTGTACTTTCGTAGTTACGCCTTTAAAATATCAGCATGGATTTTCAATTTAGGTCCTGCAGGTCACAGATCCTAAATACCTAAAGGAGAAAAAACTTCTATGGCCCATACTGATTAACAGCCCGAACCCAACTTTAAAAATCTATTTCCGATTTTTCAGAGCGAAGAATGCTCGAGAGGTTAAAAGACTCATGATAACTTATTGCTTGTTATCCACCGCTATCTAATAGTAGTTATTTTATTATTTACGAGTTGATAACTCGATCGATAAAACTGAAGATGATTTTACACTTGCGTCGTTGTTTTCGAAGGCGGTGGTCGTGTCGTGTGTGAAAAATGGCGCCAAAAGTTCCTGTCAAAATGTTAAACAATGGACAAACTATTCCCGTTATGGGATTAGGCACTTGGAAGGTAAGTTTAGCTAAATTAAAGTGTCGAAGTATGCAACTTTTCTTGGAAAATAAAGTAACATAACCACTATAACCAGGTCTAATAAAAATCGCGTAATGCATGAAACTATAAGCTTAAAGGCACTGGGTCTCTATCAGAAGGAACTCTAGGGGTGGAATCTCCATAGGCGTGGGTTAACGGGCAAGGAGATAATATCTTGGATGGTTGACAATCACTTTTCCTACAATTTAACGTTCCACCAAACTCAACACGCTTTCAAAGATAACCTCGCAGCCGCCTGCTCACACTTGACATGACAAAACTGATTGACAGTTACCTTTTTCTGCGCATCAGTCGGGTGTTACGTTTAGGAATCACAAACCTTCCGCTCTACAGATTTATACAGATAAAATAATATTAAGATTGGTACTATTAATCATCAATAATAATTTGCAGCATCTGTGTCCGGCGCCGACAAGCTCATAATTTTATTTAAAGTATGTAACACTACGAACATCTATACCCAGCCTAGGTTGCTAAACAGATTTTGATATTCCACACATTTTTCTCAGTCAATAAAATATTTATATCAAGGAAGCACTAAAAGAAACTACTTTTATTCAGATCATGATGAATCAATTTTAAAGTTTCAAAGTTGTTAAGTATAAATAGCAATAATTTTATCAATTATTCATGAAAAACGATCGAAAAACTTTAAACTTAAAGCGCTTACTTTTTTTTAATTTAGACTGGTTTGCTAAAATCGACACAATTTCCGAACGAAATCAGAATTACGCAATGTTTTTGACATTTCATTGAATGAAAAAAGTTACTGTCTGTCATTTTGAGGCCTTGAAAACAGCCGGCTTTTTCCATTCCAATAATTATTTACTAAAAACTACGAGAAGAAATACGTACGCTGAGTATTTTAATAAGAAGCTTGTTTAATAAATCGATATGGCGTCTAAAGTTCCTAAAGTGAAATTCTGCAATGGACTAGAATGTCCAATTCTTGGTTTGGGGACTTGGAAGGTAAGAATGTCAATTTAATTGAATTTCAGCTAAATTACTAACTTTAGAACAAATAATATCAGCTAATTATGACTTCAATTACTTGTTATTACATTAAGTATATAGTATAAATAATTTAGGGCACTAACTTGTCTGTACTTTGGCAATTTTTAAACTCGAGATTGTCCCATCTTCCAGTTTCATTCAATTGACTGACGTGGATATTTAGCCATATTTCGTTTATAAGTTCTTTTCAGCCATTTATGACGTCCACTGCTGTCCAAAGGCCCCAAGGATTTCCACAAGTTTTTATTGTATTTTATTTTTATTCCAATTAGAAATACTTTTGTGGTGCCTTCAAATTTTAATTCCTTATTTATTGCATAATATGAGTTTTACATATCTTCTGAACCCTGTGCTTATCTACCGCTAATATTGGGTAGTTATTTAAATAAAAAAATCATTCAAACCACCAGTTTTTCATAAATTTAGAACTGTTGGCCTTAAAAATCTTTTCTGACACCTTTTTCACCACTTTCGTCACTTTCCATCAAGTGAGATGTGTCCCCCCACCCCCATTGTTTATTGCCCATTCCAGAATGGCCTATTGTCCACCCCAGAATGGTCTATTGTCCACCCCAGAATGGTCTATTGTCCACCCCAGAATGGTCTATTGCCCACCCCAGAATGGCCTATTGTCCACCCCAGAATGGCCTATTGTCCACCACAGAATGGCCTATTGTCCACCCCAGAATGGCCTATTGCCCACCCCAGAATGTCTATTGCCCATGGCCCAGAATGTCTATTGCCAACGGTCCAGAATATCTATTGCCCACGGCCCAGAATGTCTATTGCCCACTCCAGAAATTCTTAGAAATAGTCAAGTGAAGACGTTCAGCAAATAAAACCCATCTTATTTATATTAACTGACAGTTAAGTATTTGCAAGAATATTTCTGTTAGATGTATAAGGGTAGGTATACCCAACATTGATGAAACAAATGCTGGCCGTAACAGTGTATTGCATCATAAAGGTAGCAGGAAGGCGTAGGACGCAGGCCGCTACCAACCGGGCAACATGGAAAGCATTGGGGGAGGTCTATGTTCAGCAGTGGACGTCTTATGGCTGAAATGATGACGATGAACAGCGTATTGCACTTGAAAATTTCGACGGGTTCATCCAGTGTCTAAGCAGCTCAGTTGGAAGAGCAGTCGCCCGACAAGCGGAAGGTCGTGGGTACAATTCCTGCCTTATGCAGTTTGATTTTTTCAAGTTATATATAATTTTCAAAATAAAACATCATCAAAATACTTATTATTAGTAACATAGGCCTGCGGCTGAAATGATGACGATGATAAAAACGAATGCTACAATAACACCTTTATCTACTATCAGAATGAAGAGTATCATTCACCATCAGTACAATCATTTTCTATTATCTGGTAGATGTCTATTACAATGGATTATTGTTAAACACTGAGATAAATGTCCATCATATCATTTGCACTCAACTGTGCCAAAGTGATTATAGTGCCGATAAAAACAGGCAATTTTGAAAATATTATTATTTTCGAAAAAATCTAACTGATCAAGGCGGGAATCGATCGGGAATCGGGAAGCGGGAAGGTTGTGGTTTCGATTCCCGCCTTAGGCGGGCAGGGGAGGGCAGCTGCCCCCCATGGAAATCGATTTGAAAGAGCTAAGTAAGTCAAACTGACCCAAAAAATATTATATTCATGTTGAATTTCATGTTATTTTTGTGCTAGGACATTGTTTTTTTTATGTTTTCAATATACAAGCGAGAAAAAATTAAAATCGCTTCGGTCATTCAGGAGCTAATGCAATACAAACAGAAAGACACGTCAAATACTTTTCGCGAATAATAATGCGAAAATGTTTTCGCGATAATGCCTTTCGCTCTTGCGTCTTCCGCGTTCATGTCTTTTCGCGCAAACGTCCATTTGCGCTCATGTCTTCTCGCGCTAGTGTCTTTGCGCAAATGTGTTTCGCGCTAGTGTTTTCGCGCAAATGTCTTTCCCACTAACTTCCATTCGCATGTCTTCTCGCGCAAATGGCTTTTCGCGCTAGTGTCTTCGCACAAATGTCTTTCACGCTAGTGTCTTTCGTGCAAGTGTACCAGAACCAGAACCCTTCTTCTTGTCGTGTCGACAACAAACCTACACAGCGTCGGCCCAAAACTCCGCCACAAGAGTGGCGTTGTCAGTAGCCTTCATTAAATCTTCCTGCGTGCAGTTGTTTGGGCACGCACGGCAAGACATAGACCAGAACCTTTAACCGCCTCTGTGGTCTAGTGGTAAGACCACCTGCCTCAGACGCAGAGGTCGGTTCCCAGTGGGGGCAGATTTTTCTGTTTGGTTTGGTTGGTGGTAGGGCTTGTTCTAAGTCCGCCTGGCTAGCTACCACCATCTTACCTAAGTCTGTCGCCATAACAACAATGTTAACAGCATTTAGAGGCAGTTAGAGGTAGGTAAGATAGCCAGTTCCTCCGTGGTTGAGGATTCCGGGTGAAGCTCGCTTCCACCTTCGGCCTGATCGTCACTTACCATCAGGTGAGATACAGGCCAAGACTCTATTGGCGCTAACGATACTTCAATCATGCTACAAACGACCTTGACTAACGATAAGATCAATAATTCCAGTTATCATGCTATAGGCTTTGTTGTTGAGTGCTTGGAAGATTATAATGCTGTATTTTTTATAGGACGGTACAAAATTAAGTGGTAGCTATAAAAATCTGTTGAATAGCTGGTTGCAATATACAGGGTGTTAGGTAAATGGGTATATGAGCCGACATATAAATGGTATGGTGAAGTCAGAAATTTTATATCATCATTTTAATTTTTTTAATTTTCATACAAAAAAAATTGATAAAATCCGATTTGTATGAAAATTAAAATAATTAAAATGAAGATATCAATTTTCTGACTTCACCATACCATTTATATGCATATGTTAACATGGGCTAGTGTCGGCTCATATACCCATTTACCTAACACCCTGTAAAGATGGATTAATGTCTGTCTATGTGGTATCGTGATGTATCAGGACGGAATGGGTTTCATACATTAAGTAGGTATAGTGTCCGACCGAATGTTCGGTTTCGGTTTCGTTTTCGGTTGAGTTTCGGTAAAAACACCAGTTTCGGTTTAGTTTCGTTTTCGGCGGCAAACTTGCCGAAACTACGACCGAAACCGAATGTGCATTACGATCATAGTTTATACTTAATTTATAGTATTATACAATGTGTCCGGACATGTAGTGCTCAAACTTTAAGGGCGTGATCTATGGACAATTTTATCGATGAAAATACTTCAAATTTGGGGCTTGACCCATTTCTCAAAAAATTACAAGGCTTTGTTTTTAATTTTTAGAATTCACCTCTTCCTTCAAAAACAAGTGACTGCGTGGGCACCTTAACACTAATGAGCAAATATTTTGTGTCATGCGATAGCTGATAAAATGATCTATTAGTAAAGTAGAAAACAGACACAAGTTTCATACATTTTAAGGGAGTAGGAATGGATTTAAGTAGAAAAAAACATGACTTTTTTAACTTCTTTTTCAGTTATTTTCCAACACAAGAAAAACCAGGTCGTTAAAGTATGTTTTATTTGCATTGTATTATTAGTATTTGAGCTATTCTACAAAACGAATGTAAATTTATTAGTTTACGTCTATTACTTTCGAAGCTATTGTTGAACAAAGATACCCCTTCCCAGCCGGTTCCATAGCGCGGCTAGTCATGTAGTTGGAGTAGGTTGTGCGATTCTTTCAGGCAGTGCATTTTCGCATTTCTTTATTTTTCCCTCAAAATATGAGCCTTGTAAGGAAATTTCGGTTTCGGTTTCGGCCGAAATAGACACCGTTGCCGAAATTCGTTTTCGGTTTCGGTTTCGGTCGTAAAACTAGTTTCGGTCGGACACTAAGTAGGTATAGTATCGTTTATTAAACCATTGGTTCCCAAACTTATTTGAGACGCGCCCCCTTTCGACCATACAAAAAATTCCGCGCCCCCTCTTCTCCAGTCAAGATTATTTATCGGTCGTATCGAGCAGTCTGGAATGCATTCTCTCAGCGGTCGCAGGTTTCTTACAGATGGCCCGCGCCCCCCTTTAAAGGTCTTTGCGCCCCCCACTTTGGGAACCAATGGTTTAAACTTTGGATCGTTTCATCCATGAATACGCGCCCCACCATTCTTTCGCTAATGTTTGAAGGCAACTGCTCAGAAGTATATTACAGTACATTATGTCAATCGATTGAACGTCTCTACGTAGTCTACTACTCAATTATGTATGTTTACATAAAAATTATCGATCGTCAATTATGTAATTATAATTTACAAGCAGTTGACCCGATTGTATGTCAAGGCTTCAGATAAGTGCTGCTTATCAACGTAGCACTTATGTAGTTGCAAAAAGAGCGTTTTTGCAACTAAAATATAGTCTAACTAGCTGTGCCCGCGACTTCGTACGCGTGAAAATAGTTATTTCCCGTTTTTCTTTACTGCTCCGCCCCTATTGGTTTAACGGTGATGTTTTACATATAGCCTGAAGCCTTCCTCCATAAATGGGCTATCCATCACAAAAAGAATTCGGCCATGGCTTATCCGCACCGTAACGTAAACGCCTCGCTTCGCGGTTGACACACGATTCGGTGTTGATCCGTTACAGTAGCGGCGTAAGGGGAGGCGATGGGGGGCGGTCCGTCCCGGGTGCCAAGCATCAGGGGTTGACAACAGTCGCGCAGATTAGTACTCACTGGAGCACCAACCAACCATTAGGGGGTGACTTATGACCGTGGGAGGGGTATCGCCCCGGGTGCCAATCCATGCTACGCCGCCACAGGATCCCTTTCTGTCTGCTATGACCTTTAATTGCAATCTTTCTTCTACAGTCCAAGCCGGGCGAAGTGACGCAGGCGGTGAAAGACGCGATCGACATCGGCTACCGTCACTTCGACTGCGCGTACGTCTATGGGAATGAAAAGGAGGTCGGTGCTGCCATCACTGCGAAGATTCAAGAGGGAGTCGTCAAAAGGTGAGTGTTAGCCAGGGCCTGGGGGCGTAGTGTAGCCAGACCTAAATTCACGTAGGAGAAGCGGGCAAAAAGATAGTAGGTATGCATAGAAATAAAAGGATAGAAATATTTCAGGTACAGATCGTGTCATCCACGAAGATGCGCCGCACCAGTGTTTGGTCTCGGTCGCGCGGGGTGCGGGGAGTTTGATCCGAGCAATCTGAGCGTCATTATTGTAGTGTGCGTGTGCACTCATGGATCATTTAGCGTGTACCGATAACACTGAAACGTTAGCGGAAGAATGGTGGGACGCGTCTTCGTGGATGAAACGATTTATGTTTTTGGTTTACAAGATTGAGTAAAATGTTTAATGAGTTGATATACAACCTAAATTGCTAAGTTTGAACCCAGAAAATAACGCTGGTCTTTTTATAGATTTTGCACGAAAAGCCCGATCATTTGTCGTCTAAAATCATCGACAAGATTGTATCATGTGCATCCTAACTCGGCTGGTATTTATATGCCTTAATTTCTAGTTAATGATGCAGTGTGTGACCAGTGACCAGAGTAAATACAAATGAGTAGGTCATCTTCATAGAAACGCACCGAGCGCGGTTTGTATGTGAGCGCGCCAATACGTATGCGGCGCGCACGCACACACTGACAAAATTCGGCGCAACACCAGCACCCAATTTTGTCATTGTGTGCGTCAGTCAGTCGCGCCTCATACGTATTGGCGCGCTCACATACAAACCGCGCTCGGTGCGTTTCTATGAAGATGACCTTCTCATTTGTATTGACTCTGGTGTGACGTTCAACTACAAGGTGGACCGACAACATCGTAAAGGTAGCATCATAAAGGACGGCGCTGGACGCAGGCCGCTACCAACTGGTCAACATGGAAGTCATTGGGGCAAGCCTGTGTTCAGCAGTGCCCGTCCTATGGCTGAAATGATGATGATGATGCATGCTTTTTCCACAGGGAAGACCTCTTCATCACCTCCAAGCTCTGGAACACCTTCCACCGCCCAGACCTGGTGCGAGGAGCGCTGACTGAGACTCTCCAGAACCTCAACCTGACCTATCTGGACCTGTACCTCATCCACTGGCCTCAGGCGTACAAGGTAACCATCATCTTCATCATCATCATCATTTCAGCCATAGGACGTCCACTGCGGAACATAGGCCTCCCCCAATGACTTCTTATCAATCCGACATAGCACACTTATCAACCCGGAAAGGAATCAACACCGTGTGGCGAGGCGTTTACGTTACGGTGAGGCTAAGTGTACGTTGCAGTACGGAGTTACTACGAGAATACTAACCGCCTCGAGTGGATATTATGGTTACGATCCGTTTCCGGGTTGATAACTGTGCTTCGTTCTTTAGTTTCCATTGCAGGAGCAAGACCCTCTCCAAATTACCAGAGGTAATTCTTTACTTCTACAACAAGCTTCCTTGTTCCAAGCTTTCTCTGTACCTCAAGACCTTAACTCATCCACTGGCCTCAGGCGTACAAGGTAACCATCATCAGGTCATTTAGTCTCCACTGCAGGAGCACGACCCTTCTAATTCACCAGAGGCAAATGGAGGATTTGGCCTACACTCCCCACGCTGGTCAGACGGGTTGGGGAGATGTAATCATCATCATCATTTCAAGTAGACCATGTTTCTTATCAAAAGTAAAGGTTTTTTTACCCGACTACGGCAAAGCAAAAGGAGGGTTATGATTTTGACAGGCTATGTATGTATGTATGTATGTTCATCTGTTCCCTCGTAACTTCTAAACTACTTACCAGAATTCGACCAATGACATATCATTAGAAGCGTCTTAATTGTCCGCTGGTTATAGGCTATTTGTTTTATACTTTTTCAGCGTCGTTTTTTGACGTAGTTGGGTTTTATTTTATCCACAACAAGGAAACTCTTGGCTTCCTTCCCACACCTGATGGAAAGAGGTGATCAGGCCGAAGAGGATTCCGGCCGGACGAAGTATCACCCGGAATCCTCTACCACATAGATCCAAAGGTCCTGGGTCAGAAACCCATCATCATCATCATTTCAGCCATTGGACGTCCACTGCTGAACATAGGCCTCCCCTAATGCTTTCCACGTTGATCGATTGGTGGCGGCCTGCGTCCAGCGCTTCCCTGCTACCTTTACGATGTCGTCGGTCCACCGGTACGCGGCCTCCATTCCAGAACCTTGCTGCCCCATCGGCCGTCAGTTCTGCGTACTATGTGCCCTGCCCATTGCCACTTCAGCTTGCTAATCCGTCGGGCTATGTCAGCGACTTTAGTTCATTTACGGATCTCCTCATTTCTGATTCGATCTTGCAAAGAAATACCAACCAAACAGAAACCCATAGGGAACAAAATTTTCTACTCTGTTTAGTTGGTGGCGGGCTAAGGCTTTTGTTCTAGTCCGCCTAGTTAGTACCACCATCCTACCTGTGGGTCTGAAACACGGGGTCTCAATCTCAACGCGACATTTTTATATGAGTTACATAATGGGGATGTTGCCTGGGTCAAAAAGCAAGAGTTTTAATTAGTCCGTCAGTTAACTTATCAAAAAATACTCTACACGTATTTTTCACTTTTTCAAACTAATGAAAATTTAAAGAGATAAAGCGCCCCAAAGTTCATAAGAAGAGGCCCGTGACGTCAACGCTTGCTTAAAAATGCCGCACGTTGTGACGTCGTGCGCAACTTCAACGCACCATAACTATGTAATTATTTGTTAGATTGACAAATAAAAATATACGTGTCCAATATTTTTTGATATTAAACATTACGGACAAAAAAAATTTTTTTAGGCAACTAGCCTATTATGTAGGTACCCACGCCAGTGGCGGCGTAGCATGGGTTGGCACCCGGGGCGATCACCCCCCGTCATAAGTCCTAAGGCACTCCTTGGTTTTTGAGGAGGATTTTGAGGTTACCTACCGATTCGTAGATTGAAAGACAATCGCACCCTCCCCCCCTTCCCACCCCCGTATCATGACATAGACATAGACCGCAGACTTGCCATGCAGATGCGTCAGTGAGTACTAATCTGCGCGACTTTTGTCACCCCCTGATGCTTGGCACCCGGGGCGGACCGCCCCCACCGCCCCCCCCTTACGCCGCTACTGCCCATGGCTTGACGTTTCAGCTGTTATGCTGCAAAATATCGCGTTGAGACCCATGTTTCTATATTTTAATTCCTTGCATTTTTGAGGTAACAGATTTTTTCAAACGTTTTATCTATTTTATGTAGTTTGTTATTTGTCTACATCTGTCTTCAGGAAGAAGACATCCTCTTCCCCGTAGACTCAGAAGGCAAGATCCAGTTTTCCTCAGTGGACTTCGTGGACACCTGGAAGGCTTTGGAGCCCTTCGTGGCCGAGGGTCTGGTGAAGAGCCTCGGCATCTCCAACTTCAATAAGAAACAGATCACACGGCTGCTGGAATCGGCCACCATCAAGCCTGTTGTCAACCAGGTCAGAATAAGGCTCTATTGCCTGAGTAGTTGTTCTGCATTTCTTCCCTTTATTACACAAACATAACTTTTTGACACATCTAGCACTTTCTGTGGACACACACACATACACCCAACACACACACCTAACACATACACCTAACACACACACCTAACACACACAGCTAGCACACACACCTACAAATTTATGTAATCGTTGAAGTTTTGTATAAGTTTATATAATTTTAAAATAAAAATGCCAATGTTTATGGCGTCCAATGTGACGCTCTGTTAAAAAAGTGGCCTCAGCAGAATAACAGCGTCCTGTTCTGGGTCTACCTCAGAGCAGGACACAATGCTGATTGGTCCACAAATGTGCAATTATTGTAAACTGTAATAATTTAATATGTTGGGCCAAATAAAATAATTATTTTCTTTCTTTCTTCTTTCTTTCTGATGACACCACCAATCAATAGGGTTGATGACTGGGTAATGAAATCGAAATTCTATTTAGTCCGTCAGACAGATAATAACAAAAATTTGGACACTATATTTTTTAATTTTTTTTCATAATCGATTAACAATAAATGCTTATCTTATCTTATCGAATAATTACAGTATTTATTGAGTTGAAATGTCGCGTCACGTCACTTTTGAGTAAAAAATCTACTCAAGCGTGACGTATCGCGCCATTTCAACTCGATGTAGCATTATTATTTAATTATGAAAGAAAATAAAAAATATGAGTCTAATATTTTCTAATTATCTGTCTGAATTGAAATTTTGTCATCTAGCCTATTGACGTACTTATTAAAACTGTCAAAACGAGACTCTCCCATAGATTTGTACGGCAATACAAGCAAGTGACGTCACTATTTTGTCATCTCAATGAGGGTTTTCGCGTATGAAAGATCCGCTAGATAGCGGGACGTGGATGTGGGGTCTGACTGCTGCGTGATTGGTGGATTTTGACATATCTGTCAATGTCATGTCAAAAATAACCAAACATGCAGCATTTGGACCTCGCGTCTACGTATTGCCATCTGGCGGATTTTTCATACGCGAAACCCTCATTAAATTACTTTTTTCAATTACAATGCAACCAAAAATCTTAATTTATAGGCAATTAAATTGCTATAAGAACAAACAAATGATCCATGTCCTCTTCACTGTTATATGTAGAAGGCTCGATGGACCAAAAACAAATGTTCATGGAAACACTTGTTAAATTTCAAATTGCGTATATTGACACATTGGACACACGTTAATTAATTGTAAAACAATTTTGGGGTGGAGGTTATAGACTCCAACGTGCAATCCGTCCGATTCTCTCCAATAGAATGAAAGTCCAAAAGGAACGAATGAATAAGTATGAATGAGTGACTGATGTTTGCATTGAACATATTGGGGGCCAAAGGCAAAAGTTTCTGCTTAAGAGCGTTGTAGCAAAAAGTTGGCGTTCGAATTTAAGGTTTTTATTGCTTGACGTCGCGTAGTGAGTGCGCAAACTGCATTTATCTGTACAATTTCAACGCTGCGTCGACTAAACGATCTTAATCCGTAGTTGTATCGTACCTAAGACAGTACATCATACATAATAATAAAGAAATAATGTATAATTTACCTATTTGACTTTTTCTCAGATCAGACTTTTAGCAGAATCAAGTTACGTAATTAATGTATTTTTTACACTAGTAAATCCCGCGACAAGTTTTTAATCATTAAATTGAGTAAAGTAATAAGTTGATGGGTTAGAAAGAATTTATGTTTTATTTTATTCTTTTTACAGCATCAAAAGCTTGTTTATGAAAAATATTTACTATTTAAATTTTACTTTTGACTTTTTAGTTTTTATGATGCGGGATGGAAAAATAAAAATTTATTCTGATTTTGTGACGTTTCCGCACATAAAATATGGATAGGTTAAATAAATAGAATGAAATGTATGAAAACGAGCGTGCTATTTTTTAAACGTTATCTACCTATAATATCTGTGTCCATCAAAGAGCTCGTAACTAAACATCGTAAGCGCCATTCACATAATTATCTAAAAGTTAATAATAAATA